CCCAGAATGTGTGTTTATTTGAAATCAAAAGTAAATCTTTCCAAACAAAGCTTCAGCGTACAAACATGAACCCTTTTCGGGGTTAAGAGCAGTGCATTTGGGGGAACCATTAAGTAGAGTCATCTTAAAGATTTGCAAGTGTTGCAGACTATAAACGTAGGTGCTGTGAGGGGTCAAGGACAGTGCAGCCTACCTCAGGGGACTGTGCAGGCAAGGCAGCTGTGATTGCATTGACTGATACAAATAGGCTTTTTTCACTATTGGGTGCTAATGGAAAGGTGGGAAGAAGGAAATAAAAATCCCTTTGTTTGCCCTTTTCCTTTTTTTTTTTTTTCCCCTCAGCAGATTTGTACTTAGAAAATTAATTCATTTTGATTGATTACTTCTGTGCTTTTGGTCTGCACATGCAATTGCTATTTGTGCGGAATTCAGAGCAATGCATGTTAAGGGCCTGATTCCTACATTGACAACACTGCAATCTAAGAGTAGTTGTCAGTAATTGGACTCATCTCAATCTTAGGCTGTCATTCACAAAAGAATCTTTGTTTGATTGTCCAGGTTTAACTTTAAACGTAAGTCTTAGTCCCACTGATCTCAGGGGAAGCAGTTCATTAAGCACATATTTATATATATAGTCCTCAAAAAGGACATTAATTTAGGATTTGAGAAATTGGCCCCCGAGGTATATGTACATACTACCCTTTATTCATAAAGCATGAACAATTAATTTTAAATCTTTTTCATTATTTTATATGTGGGGGATTTTCAAACCAAATATTGAATATAATACTATATAGCATAGGGATGTCCCAAACATATGAAATAAAATAACACAGAAAAATATATTAAAATGAAAGCGAATAATTTAAAGAAACATTGAACAAACCTACCTACAAAGAGAAGTTGTGTTGACTCATATACCTGGTTTATATCAGTGGAATTACATCCAGCACTGCAGTGGAGCTTTGCAGTTCAAGGCTTTTCCAGTTGTGCTTGTGGTCCCTCCTCCTGCCTGCCCTCCTAACGTGTTCCCATTGCATATTCATTGAAACAGCTATTTTCATGGATTGAGTTATTTTTAATTAATGTAGAAGGTCAACCTGTTTAACATACCACAACTGCCTGTATTTTTAGAGGAACACATGTTGCAGTTTATGACAGGATTAAAACTCAGTTTCAGAAAGGACCTCTAGGGAAAAAAAAAGAAAAAAAAAGAAACCTTCTGCTGATTACAAAGCAAAATTACACTAATGTGGAAGTCATTATAGCAACCTACTGTGAGGTGGGGTTTAAAGGACATAAAGAATACCTTACAGCAAATCAAGTGTAATGCAAGGAGAAAAAGCAAACAAACGGCCAATTTTATATATGCTCAGGGCTCATTTGAGGGAATCCAAGAGCAATTGTGAGGCTGCTCTGCACAGGTTATTGTTAGTTCCCTGGCAGCAGTGGATGTGTCTGTCCTGTGTCTTTGATGTTTTTCACTGCTTTGTAGAGGGATGACCAGAGAGACCTTGATGCAGCCCTCTGGACTTTTTGCTTCAAATCAAAGCTGCTCCTTTCTGAAGCAGAACACTTTCACAGCCAAACTTGTCTGTGCTTAACTTTCTGCTGAAATTCCAGCTACTGATTCATCTCACCCAGTTCAGTCTTTTTGTTCAGAAAACTGAATCATATTTTCACAGCCTTGTATTCAGGGGGAAAAAAGCCTTCCTGAGCAAGCTTCCCAAGTTCACCCAGATTTCCTTAGGTTGATGATATTAAGGTAGCTTGTGGTTAGCATCTTCACTCCAATGAAATTATGTTTTACAAAAAACATCATGATTTTTTTGTTCTTGTCTTTTTTCTTCCCCTTGGAGACTGTGAATGTCTGGCTAGCCCTTGTACAAAGGTCTAAAAATATTCTCCAAAATCTGTCTCTAGATGCATGTACAACAACCTTGTGGAGCTTGCCGGAATTTTATAATGGAGCTCAAGATGTCACTTTGGTACAGGAAGGGAAAGCTAGCTAGAACCATTATAGGCAGAAAGATTATGCAGTAATATCTACAGTGTTATGGTAGCTTAATACCAGTCTGCTTTTATGTATTTCTAAGCTTTTAATTATAAAAAGCTCATTTAACTCCTTAACCTGGCTGGCACTGGGATCTGAAAGGATTAAAAGTGGCTTAAACCATTTTACTCTTTTTCCCTCTATCTTCACAATCACACTCTCAAGGAAAATCTTGGTAAAATATGAACATTTGTGATTGAGTCTTACTGCATAAGACATAAATTTCCTATTGAATCTGACTTGCTCTGCTGTCCTTCATACCTCCCCAGACCATCTGAAGGGAAATTTGTATGTCCTAATGAAACAAATATATATTGAATATCCTGCAAGACAGATTTAAAACTTAATACATGCACTTTGCTGCATAGTTTGCAGTAAGAACTGTTGGTTATTGTAAATTCAGAACATGTGTGTGTTTCTCATAGGCTGAGGTCCTATGAAATGCTAAGCATATCCTAAAATACAGCCTAAAATATTAAAACACATACTAAGGACTTACCAGCTAAGTCCTACGTACAAAGTTCAGTAAGTAACTCCTTTTGGGAAGAGTGTTGCTTGACCTAGTAAATAACAGCTGAATATCTCTGAGAGGATCTGAGCCAGTATCTGCTTTTACAGCAGCATGAATCAGAAATCACTGCCTCAAAGACAATACATACTCCATCTTATTTAGACTAAAATGGATTTTGGTGCCCAACCTTCAACCTATTGGTGGACATATGGTGGCTGGTCACATTCTGAAAATTGAAAGTTTTGGTTATCATACTGTTAGTAAGTGGAATAATTGTCCTTTTAATTGTACCAGTAGTGAAAATACACAGAAAATATTTCCATGACAGTTGGACTCCGTATGCATTTATGGAACAAAACCACTAAATTAAGTGAAACATTTCCTAGAATTTCCCTACCTATTATGTAATTTACTTTGAATTTAAGAACTCTGATCCTCTTTGTATGTCTCAGGTAGGAGCAGTCTTTCTTGTCATACTTGTTCCCAAGTCTTTTGAAACCCAGCTTTGCATTTTCAAACTTTTATTAATGCAGGGACCAGACAGTTTTTCTACATTTTACAGGCTTAGTGGCAAAGAAAAAAAAACACCAAAACCCCAAATCAATTGAATCTTTTGTTCTCTGGGGCCCAGATCTCCTCTGTCTCTTTCCAGCACCCCCTGAAAAGCAGCAGAAGTGGTGTGGTGGTATTTCATAAATTACAGTAGAGCTTCAAATATTGTGAGCTTGGAGAATGTATCCTCCTTTCCTTTCCATGAGAAAGTGGCTGTTGCATTGGATCCCTGTGTTGGGTATAATAGAATCACCTATTCCCGTGCACTGTCCCATACTCTTACTACCATGCAGGGGAAAGAAGTGTTTGTGATAAGTGGGTGGTGTTATGGTGTGTTCTTTCATGTCATTCCTGAGCAGATTCTAACCTGCAGTTCTCAACTATTCTTTAGGAACTGAAGCTACAATTCCTAGTCCTGAGGTGTCACAAGTTATCTCTATATTAACTGTGATTTTACAGTTGTCCTCCAGAGCTAGTGATGAACCTCAGCCAGGTAGTTCTGAGGTGGCTTTTTGACTCATTTTTTATATTATTCTTGCTTTTCTTTAATAAGGCCCCTTTATACTCTTTGTACTAATGCAATGGGGAAGGGGATCTTACAGAACCACCTCCTCTGGTTCTATGTCCAGTGTGGATTTTTTCAATTTACATGAAACTCTGCAGCCCATTTAGACAATAGTCCTGCCTTGACAGGTTGTGTCCAGCACTGCAGCAGAAGTGCTCCCAGAAGGGGCACATACTAGGGACAGATATATCCCATGTTTCCTGCTGCTGAAGAAGAGGACTATCAAACTGATGCGGTAATGGCAGTTATAACAGGTCCAACAAGCTGGAATGTAGTAGAGGAGACAGCCTAAAGGCTAGTAAGACCTGGGAAAAGGAACGTTTTCCTTAAGCAGAGATGCCCTATCTTCTAATTTTTCTGCTACGACAGTATCTATATTCTTTATGGACTTGAACAGGCTCATTAGCAATTACTAATGTACGTGATACATTATTACTACTTATTGGTATACCAGGGCCTTCAAAAAGTTTCAAAACCCCCTTGAGTCAGTAGATAAGGGAAGATAGGCCTTATAAGATGTGCCAGTTTTTGACACACAAGCTCAGCCATCCAACTAATTTGCATGAAGTTTAAGTGAGAACTTTAAATCACAGTGAAGATGATTCCTATGTTGCAATGAGAAACTCCCTTACAGACGTATAAAATCCTAAAATAATCAAATTAAAAATTATTTTATACCATATAGATTCAAAAAACAATTTAATGTAATTTCTAGAAGTGTTTATGGTATCACTAGAATCCCTGATAGCCTGGGCAGAGTAATAAAAGAACTTATTTGACAACTAAAAATACAATTTTGAACATTTCTTAATGACTCTGTGTCTACATGTTCACCCACTATGTGGCCCAGTGGGAGGTAAAATTCTATTCAGTGTGGGTATAAATTACTAAATGTTGCTAGTCATCAATAACGCTCTCTTTTCAAACTCATATTGAAGTGCTGGGCTTTGCAGCACAGTCATAGACTCACTATATAACCTATAAGTGATCTTATATGAAAATTATGCTCTGTATGTTCTAACAGATTACATCTTCCATTTTTCATAGCTGTATGAGCTAGTAAGTCCTACAATAAAATTTCAGGTCTGCTGCCTTAACATATGCACTACTTAACAGACCTCAAATTCTGTTTTGGGTGTACAAATTACCAGCGTGTCCAGATGTTGGTCATACCTCCATTCCGCCTTCATTTTTCTCCTTTTTGAGTTTGCTTCACTCCTTTAGAAACCTTTCAATGTCTTGTGCAAAACTTCAAGGATGACAGTTGAGCTTGTAAGTTCCAACAAGTAAAAAAACCCAAAAGACCAGTCCAAAATCTCTGGTATAGATTTAATTTTATTTGTAATCTTTTATGAACAAATTACGAAATATACTTCATTCACAAATTGGAAATATTTACAATTTTTTTACAACAAGGCCTTGTTGAGGTTTTGATTTATGGCGTTCTTAGAGCATTCTGTCTTTCAAAACAAAGACATTGGTGTTGTTTTCAGCACACTGTTCATTTACACTCTGAATGTGAAATGGGAACCTTTTAGAAGAGTAATTTGCACTCTCTTTTGATACGACCTACTGGGAAACAGAGGGTGAATGCATTTGCAATGTGGGGAGGGGGACTGTGCAGATGCATTGCTGGTACCATGCCACATGATCTGAAGCCGTCATATTATGCCAGATGCTGATAAGTGGGAAGGAGAAAAAGATTCCCCTGAGCCATCCTTCTTCTGCCCTCTTCTCTTCTCTTTAGGAATTGTGTTACTGGGCTAAATGTGGTCCAGTTTAATTACTTTTTTTCTGGGTCTTGAGTCTTCATGACAAGAAGAGTCTTGAGAAGTCTATTTCAAATACTATCACAATTCTGAAAAGTTATTCAGACAAAAACCCAAAAGAGAGTAGCCAGGAAGTGAATAAATATTGTATATCCGCAAAATATTTAGGAGACAAATTTTGAACATGTTTCTAAAAGGGAAATGCAACTGTGCTGTTCTGCAGTTGTGACATTTGAGCCATAAAAGCTAAGATAGTTCCATTTTCTCAATTTCTTGGAGTCTATTTTTTTTTCCTGAAGAAAATGCTAAAGCCACTTCTTTCCATGGAACTTTTAAAAATCTCTCAATATACACTTCCATTATAAATCAGATGTGGGCCACCATTGCTTAAGTTGTCTGTCATTTCCTGCAACAAGAATAGAAAACACTGGTTAAAAATACAATTATTTTATGGTGTTTGAAATTTAGTTAGCTAAGGTTGTAATAAAAATATAACATACTCTGAATTTCAAACATTCAGAAAAACATTTTTTTTTTCTTGGTAAATCTCACAGTTAAAAAAAAAATTTAAACAATCACATTTCCTCCTGAATTAAGTAAATTTGAAAGCTGGTAGACTCCTTGATACTGATTGAGTTGGACATTATTCTTAGACCACATATACAGCATTGATGGCATCCGTGCAAGTTTTGTGCCGTTGTCCTTTGAAAGTGCATCAACTCAAGCTTGTGTGGTAATCTACAAAGGAACAAGGGTAGTTGAGTTTTTGTGTCCATTCAAACCTTTTTATGTGCTGACATGCAAACAAACAGATGCCATTTGATGCTAGCTGGGGTAAACATTTGGGAAGCAGGTATAGATCCAAAGATAATCTAAAGGTTTTGACTGCTTGCCTTGGGATGGGACTGCTTTTTGTTTTCATTTAATATGCCAGACTACAGTTTTTAGCAGTTCAGCAATTTCTGCTCAAGTGACAGATGAATCATCCCAGACTAATTTGACCTGATTGTGAGTCAGAATCCTAAAACACCTAAACCAAAATTTGTTTGGAGTTTCTAATTCTCAAATTGCAGTCCAAACAATGCCTACTTAACAGCTGTCTAATCCTGGAGATGGCTACATTAATTAAGCACTTCTCTGACCTTCAAGGCTGCAAAGCCACGTGGAGTTTCTGCTCAGAATTGCCTTATTCTGAGCAGCCCTAAGCCTCTTTCACATCAAATTGAATCAGGATGCAGAAGTAAAGTGATCTGCTGCTTATATCCAATGACAGTTCCCAAGGAGCATGCAACTATACCAGGAGGAATGGGCACACATAAAAATGCAGTTTGGGCTATTCTTTTTAAAATTCAGGTAGATGAGGTGGAGGTGCCACTGTTGGGTGAGTTCTAGAACCAGCAGCTTTCCCCTGCATGGAAAGATTAACTTCACCCCTTCTGCCTCCTAGGTACAGTTGGAGAAAATGTGGAACAAAATGGATTTGTTTGTCCATCTTCTTGTGGAAGTTTCCATGAAGAAAATAAAGTAAGATTCATTGGGCTAAACAGAGAGAGTGAAAGACAGAAAGAAAGAGCCCAATTCTATAGCATGATAGCTGAGATTCTTGGTAAAGAGAAAAAAAATTCTGGGACCTGGTCTTTATTCCTAGACTGACTCTTTTCTGTCTCTTCTTTTAGTCCACAATATTTGTTTTATAAATAGGGAGGCAGAGATCAGAACTCAGAGATTCACACAATGCAGAAACACTGGTGCCTCCTTTTCCAGGTATTACCAGTTATATTTTGAAGTACATCACTGCTCCCTGAACAGTTTTTGAAAGAAAGGATGTGTTATTCCTTTCTACAAAGTAAACTTAGGGCCATCAAACTGAGTACCCTTGCTAATTAATATTCCTGAATCAAGCATAAGCTTCAGAGTAAATAAGGTGTGTAAACTTATTGAATTTTGAGCATTTTCTACCACCCCAGTTCTTCATTTGGAAGGTGATAGTATTGGATGGGTTTGTATGGTGCCTTATTCTTTTCATATACTCAGGAGGAACATGACTGCCTAACACTAGCCTCAGGATCCTCATCTGGGGACTCTCTGCTCTTAAACAAAGCACCATGTTTTGCCTATCTATAGGTGCCTAAACCCTTTCTTGGATCTATGCTGAAGATGTCAGCTGGGAAAGGGACCAAGAATACCAAAACCATTTAACAATCATTCAGCCACAGGTTAATAGTAATCTGTCAGAAGCCAACTCATGAGTGAATGTAAGTTTATTTTTGTCAGCTTTATCACTTGAATCCTCTGCAGACATCAGCTATTAGAGTACCATCATAATTTAGAAAATATTGAAAACCATTTATTTTCCCAATATTTCTATTTTCAAAATTAAAAGTATTAATAAATTAAAAACCATTGCTGAATTCAAGAAATGAAGGAGCACACAGATTAGAAGCAGAGTGAGTCAATGGTGGCAACATCCAAATAGTAGCATTTGGATGTCTATAACTGGGGTGAATATTTTAAATACTCAACTTACTTCCAGATTGCAGCATTCACCACGTAGAATTATGTCACCACCTGGAAGCACCATTCCTGACTCAGAGTGGCATCACAGCATCAGCCAACTTTGATTAGCTGAAACTATGACTTCCTCTCAGAGGTGGCCCTTCCTGAAGTGACATAACAACATGGTAGCTCCCTAGTGTTCAGCGTACCTTGGAGGTAACTCTGGTGTCGGGGGAACCACCGGGCAGCTGGGCAGGTCGGTTATTTCAATACCCCTCAATCTCTAATATAAATATAACAATTATACAATAAATATAGCACAAATAAATGCACATGCAGTACATGTCTATATTACTGTATATGAGTATAAATATACACAATAGGCTTATATATAAAACACTTTAAAGCTATTTTCTAAATCAGGGCCAAATTTAATGTAAGTTTTTAAGTGGCCTTCATTATTTTTCGGGGGGCATGCCTTGAGCTAATGTACTCAAACCTGCTAGCAGAGGCTGTCCGCAGGCTGTAGGTCTAAGAAGTCTCAGGTCAGACCATCTACACATGCATACTTGATTCTACAACACACATGCAGGGAGTCCCCCATCAGTGGGGCACATCCTCTATTCGCTGATCATGTGCGATAGGGTTGCTCTGCACATGCATCATGGCCCTTCACCCAAGATGAGTGGGCACCTGGCAGTCCTTACTGCTAAGTGTCTAAAAGCTCAGTAGGTCAGCAGGCCAGGAAGAGAGGCAGTGAACTACTGCTATATGTGATCATCTTCAGCCCGGACTAATAGGATTGGCAGGCTTTGCATTTTGAAAGGTTTTTCTTCCAAGGCATTCCTTTATTTTTTACCTATCTCTCTTTTTCTCAAATAGGCTTCATCTTAGTCCTTGTTGCAGCAAAAGCCTCTTTGAAAGGCAGGATCTAGCCTACCATCTGCAAGACTACGGACATACTTGCCTACTTAACTCATCAGAATTCTGCTTCATTTTAAAATGAGACAGAGAAATGTATCTCTTCCTTTGATTTATCACCCTGTTCTATGTTCCTGTTGTAACTCATACTGTTTAACTTCAAAAAATGTGTTTCAAACATCTTCTAAGATGAATTCAGTCTGTATTTCTACTTGGAGTCTCATTTCAGTTAAGAAGCCAATGAATAGTGACAAGTAATTTTTACTTAATGGACAATTAACTGCTATATCATATTTTGTCAGGGAATCTGATGCTCAGCTTTGGGAGATTAATTTCAGCACCTAAACATAGACCTAGACACCTTGGTAAGCTTCCTTTTAACAGAGAAAGGCAGTAAATGCTCAGTGCTGCTGCAAATCCAACCAATTTCTTTTAGGTGTCTAAATATGCCCTTAGGTGTTTAGGCTTAGTTATCTAGGTTTGTGAACTGTGGCTTTTGTGTTTAAATAACCTACTTTATAAGCTGAGTACTTGGGAGAGGAAGAAATTGATTAAATCCTGGAAGCATGCAATGATGTGGTTATAGAGAGCATTCTGTGCTTTTTCACAGTACAATACATGATAATCCATATTAATAAGGCTTCCAATTATTTATGAAGTGCTATATTTAGCAGCTAAGCCCTTGAATAGCTATACAATGGAATTATGTTGAAAATGGATGTACTTCATTGAAATGGATGTACTGCAAATATACAGTATCTAAAAATATCTCCATATAATGCAACATAATAAAGCTTACACGGAATGACGGCATTTCATTTCCCAGAAGCTCTTCCTCATATAAAACTGAAAACTGAATACATGTCTTGCCAATTGTAAATGTTAGCACATATAGTAGCATTTTAGGAGAGGCAGAACAAATAAGGGAGGACACACAACTCACTTTTTCTGCCATTTCATGGGAGTGATGCAATGAATGTTCTCTCTCTGAGAACATTCGCCTTTGTTCATAGCTGGCTAGCCGACAAGTGAGCCATGAAGAAAGGGTGCAACCACCAATTCCAATGCATGCAAGAGACATGGAGGCAAGATGCAAAGAATAGAGAGCAGACGACTTCTTTGTCAGAGCACGAAGAAATTGAAAATTTAAGATTCCTCCGATTAGTCCACAGATGCAACAGGCAGAAAAAAGTATCATCTGTCAGGAAAGACAAGAGAGGTTACGTCACAGTAACATTTCTCAGAGACAGGTTCATTCGTATAAAAATGACACTAACCATAATTCAGTGCTTTGATAGCATCATGGATTGCAAAACTCTACACAAACATTCATTTTTAAGTCACTTGGCTCCCACATAGCTCACAGGAAATACAACAACTTCTAGTGTAAAAGAGTTAATATTGATGGTGCACCTAAGATAAAGTGGGGTAGAATGAGTTGCTCATGTTAAGAACTAGTCAATGGAAGAACTGCTAGGACATAAGTCTTATTTTTAGCGTTTCATTCAGAACAATAACACAACAGAATTTGTTGTAATTTTCTGTTGTGCAGTTTCTCACCACTCCTCAGGAGTGAACGCCTCATGTATTTGCTGTGAATCTCTCTTGCTTTGTGTGCCATCCGACTCTGACTCTTGTTCCATTCTAATTTGCTCAGTCAGACAACAGTTTGGAGACTTTTGACAGCTTTTGTGGGAATTTCAAAAGTGTTCAAGGTGAATGTGCTGGACAAAGAAGCAACAGAAACAACAAAGAAATCTGTGATGCAGCTCTACAGAAGGTCAGTGTGGTCACTGTGTGTTTGTTTGTAACTTGGTTAAAATGTTTCTGGGAACTTTAGAAGAATGTGAACAAGCTGCAATTCATGAGATGTTTAAAATCCTATCACTTCAATCACCAAGATGCCACCCTGGTTCAGGATGTCCTTGAGCCACAGATGACTCGAGGGCAAAAGACCTTATGGTGACACTGATAATTTATTGTCTTATTCACTTCCCTTGATACTGGTGGCCAGTCAGATATGGATCTAGATGGGCCTTTGATGTTACTCAATATGACTTTGCATCTGTACTTATCTACTGTCGTAGGAACAATTTATGGAATCCTGACTGACCACTTCTGTACACAACTGGGATGAGAATTTCATCAGGTGTCATTCAGGCAATATGCTGCAGTTCACTGGGAAGTGACTATTCCATGAGACCACCAGAACAGACAGCTTTTAGAAACTGGTTATGGTACACATGCTTTAAGAAATGACACTGTCATTGTAACAGGTTTTAACTCATTGATATTCAAGAATAATCTGAGAGAGAACTTGATTCCCTTTACACTTATGCTGGTATTACGTGACTTCCATCTGTATATGGCAGAATAATCAAGCTGACAGAAAATTAAGCCAGACATTATCACTTACAGTAGGATCATGCTTTTAACATAAAGTTCTGCTGTAACTTGTCAAATAATAACACCATTTTGTGGCAGTCAGAAAAATGACTGTACTTCTAATTCTTAGAAGGGACAAAAAACATTCACCATCACTTTAAAACTGGCTTATTCATGATTCTGATTGCAAAAAGAACTTACTAAAAACAACGAACAGCTATGATATCTAGAATCAAACTTGGTCCGCAACCTCATTGAGGTGGCAGCCCAATCGTACCACACTTCATGGAAATGGGTTTTTGAAAAGGGAGAAGTTACAATCCAGTGAAGTTACTGTAGAACTTTTTATTGACTTAGCATGAATTTGTGTCAGGAGGTTTTCCATCTATATTTATCCAGACAGGATTAAATAGGGAAGCGTGGCTTAAATAGGCATGACCTAAATAGGCCATTTCAGAACTGGCTTGTTTTGCTTGATTAACCCAAACTGCTGATTGTTTTTTTGGATTGCTGACTTACAATTTTTACTGACTTTTTATGAGAAACACTTGGACACAAAGCCCTCAGTAAGGAATTCAAGTTAGATAAGCATGCCTTTCAAATAGTTGTGTACTATATATGCAGTGGAAAAACTTACAACAAGTCCAGACTTTTTTTTGGCGCATAATATTCCACATATGCCACAAAGCAGAAACTGCAAAAAAAAACCAAAAAACACCCAATTATTTCATCATTTAAGGTCTCAAGTTTAAATCCTGCTGTGTGGCTCTAGTGTTGACCACAACAGTAAATTAGGCAATGGTTAAAGTTGTTAGCATTTTTATCACAAACCTTATGTTTCAGGAAGTTCAACTCAACCATAACTCAACTATAAATATGCTCATCTGAGAAGAAGAAATTGGAATGAGAATTCAGACTGAGGTTGATTACTCATAAATAAAAAAATCCTACTTTTAAGTTTCTTGGGTAAACAAAATATAAACAAACAAACAAACAAGTTGCAAGCAAAAGATGTCTTTTTTTTTTTTTTTCTCAGAAAAGTTTAGCAAGGTAGTAGTCAGTGCTCCAAACCATCTCCTTTCAAGCGCACCTGAGGTGCTGAATGCCCTGATAGTAGAATCATAGAATGGTTTGGGTTGGAAGGGACCTTAAAGGTCACCTAATTCCAACCCCTCTGCCATGGGCAGGGACACCTTCCCCTAGACCAGGGCGTTCAAAGCCTCATCCAGCCTGGCCTTGAAGACAGCCAGGGATGGGGCATCCACAGCTTCTCTGGGCAACCTGTTTCAGTGCCTCACGACCCTCTCCATCCTACTGTGTGAACCACAGAGAGATTATACATGAATTGTTGTCCTCAAGTCCATGGAACTCTGAGCAAGAATGCAATTCAGTCACGTCCATGGGTGCAGGTGTAAATTCAAGTACATCTGTTGGTGTGACTACACTGTGCATGCATGAAAATCTGTTTCAGATTCTAGATAGTCCACTTTGCAAGAGATAACATGAAGGTATCTGTATTTTTTTCACGTACTTTCCTTTCCCAAGCTGATCTGCTACTTATCGCATAAGAATTAGGCAAAACCTGATTAACAAATGCAAAACTAGCCCTTACCAGCAGATATGAATGGGTGTTAATGTTTTTTAGTGACCTACATCAAAGACCAATGATGTTCTCTGATGCCTCATTTTCCTTCTCCAATAAAGTTCAATGAGGGAAACAGTGAACAGTCCCTGAGGGAGCAGTAGTGGTAGGAACTGCATTAGTTATACGAAAGCAATAAGGCTTTCTCTAGGTGTTTGTAATACTGTCAAATGATTTTTTTCAGTACCTCATAGATTCCTTTATTAGGAAATTTATACTGCTTCTTTTTTTTTTTTTTTTCAGTAAACCTAACCCTACACTCCCATCAGGAAGTAATTTTGTAGTTTTAAACCCAGATTTTTCCACATCCTTTTTGCACTGAGATGACATTTCTAGCAAAAGGCTCTATTTCACCTTGATTTAGGATTAAATCACATAACATACCTGGTTGTTACATAAGAAGTGAAAAAAAAAAAAAAATTAAACATTTTCTGTACAGCATTCAGAGTCCGTGTAATATACTGCATGTACATCTCATTTGCCCTCCAAAATATTGCAACTGCAGTACCTCAGTTGAGGACATGCTTTAATACATAGTTTATCTCCTTCAAACTGAAGTAGTTCATGTTTATAGCTAAGCCTAAGCCTTAAGATGTATTTTTACTCTGAGTTAGGCCCATCGAATCAGTTCCCCACAATGAATGTGGTTAAACTTTGCATATTATTTACCTTTGCACTATAGATGGGATGTGGATTTAATGCCAATCAGATTATGGAGAGGGTGGGGTCATGTAAACCACAGTGCTGAATGGCTCAGGACATACAGCTGGTAATTGCCACTAGAGCTCACCCATTGGAAAAACGATCCAAAAAAACAACTGGTACAGCTCCCTGTGTTCCTTTCAGAGGGTATTTCAGTTCAGAACTATCACACCTGTCTTGTAAGGCTTTCAAATTCAGGTTTTCTGAGAAATTTTGGAGTTTCACTCCGAATCCTGCCATAGCAGATTGCCTGAAGGAAAGTTGACTGAAGGCATACTTCAGATTTGCACATATGGTGTTTTGTATTTCTTATCATTAATGCAGGAACCTCAAAAAAAATTTTGTTTGACACATCAGTGTAATTAAGTTTTATTCAGTCAGACTTGATAAAGCAGATTAATAATATAATTTCTCTCTGCAGTGATTGAATAAGATTACAAGGAAAATTCTATACAAATAAAAATTTATGAGTTCTGAAAAGCTTACAGAAAAGCCCCCTTTCTGAAGGGGGGCTACAAGAAAGCCAGAAGGGGACTTTTTACAAGGACCTGTATTGACAGGACAAGGGGTAATTGGTTTAAATTGAAAGTGGGGAGATTTAGATTAGATACCAGGAAAAATTCTTTATGGAGAGGGTGGTGAGGCACTGGAACAGGTTGCCCAGAGAAGTTGTGGATGCCCCATCCCTGGAAGTGTTCACGGCCAGGCTGGATGAGGCTTTGAATACTCTGGTCTAGGGGAAGGTGTCCCTGCCCATGGCAGGGGGGTTGGAACTAGATGATCTTTAAGGTCCCTTCCAACCCAAACCATTCTATAATTCTGTGATTCTATGATCTGGAAGATACCATCAAAAATATCTTCAGCTTGTAACAAGTGTATATTAACTAGTTTAAAAAGCTGGAGTTTTGATAATTTACCTTCAAAGCTGAAAGAGTAGGCCACCCATGTTTTCAAGAGGGCTCTAATTCTGCTCCTATTAGGATCAATGGATTTTTTACCATTGATTTCAACTGAAGAAGACTTTTTGTTGTACAGTCTTTGCTAGCCAGAAGGGAATGCAATGACCAAGCTTCATTAACCTTGCATATGAGCAAAGGAGCAACAAGCAAATTACAGGTTCACTTAGCATTAGAACCTACCAGTTTGGGCAGTTCTGCTATTCTTTACTATTTTTGAAGGACAGAACACACTTTTCAACCCACATTTATGTAGGGCCATATACATACATATTACCTAAGGTGTTTCCCAGTTGAAATCCTAAGAACAGTGACTGTGCTAACCTGCAAACCCTAATGTACTGGCTTCTCAAAACCAGGGAGTGACTACCATATTCCATAGCTGTTAGAATATCTGTGGGACTACCTGGAGTAATGATCTGGATGCAGGAGTTGAATGTATATTAAGCAAGGTTTCCAATGGTACTAGATTAGGAGGAGCTGTGGACTCCCTTGAGGGTAAAGAGGCTTTACAGAGAGATCTGGATAAACTGGAGAGCTGCGCAATCACCAACTGTATGAAATTTAACAAGAGCACATTCTGGGTTCTCCACCTGAGACAGAGTAATCTTCGTTATACATACAAACTGGGGGATGAGAGGCTGGAGAGCAGCCCTGCAGAAAGAGGTCTGGGGGTCTGGATTGAGGGCAAGTTGATTATGAGTCAACAGGGTGCCCTAGCAGCCAAAAGGGACATGTCCTGTGGTGCATCATGCACAGCATCGCTATCCAGTCCCGGGAGGTGATTGCCACACTCTACACTGCATTGGTGAGGCCCCACCTCAAGTACTGTGTGCAGTTTTGGGTATCTCAATATAAGATAATCAAACTATTAGAGTGTGTCCAGAGGAGAATGACCAAGATGGTGAAAGATCTCGAGGACAACACTTATGAGGAGTGGCTGAGGTCACTTGGTTTGTTCAGCTGGGAGAAGAGAAGGCTGAGGGGTGACCACATTGCAGTCTACAAATTCCTCAAGGGGGACAGGGGAGGGGGAGGTGCTGACCTCCTCTCTCTGGTGACCAGTGATAGGACATGAGGAAATAGAATGAAGCTGTGTCAGAGGAACTTCAGATTGGACATTCGGGAAAGGTTCTTCACAGAGAGGGTGGTTGGTCACTGGAACAGGGTCCCCAGGGAAGTGGTCATGGCACCAACCCTGTCAGAGTTCTAGGAGTATCTACACAATGTTCTTAATGATATGGTTTAGTTTTAGATAGTCCTGTGAGGAGCAGGGAGTTGGATCTGATGACCCTGTGAGCCTCTGATTCTAGAATAATATTTTATTGTGTCAGGGTCTCTATGAGTACTTTGTAGCTATTTTCTCTCTCTGTATCTCTACAATATTTATATATATACACAAGGAATAAGGTGCCCTGTAGTTAAAAAAATCAACAGAGTGCTAATAGGAGTTGGGTATTCCTGGTGCTTCCACATTCTTCTGTTTTAGCTTGGGAAGGTCATGCCAAAGTTTTATAGTTTGCATGACAACGACACAAGCAAGTTGTGAAGCTGAATGCACCAGTGTCCCTCAACATGTTAAAACCTTGGAAGAAAAGCACTTGAGCAGTAGCAAAGAATTAATGTTATCTGAGGCTTTTTGGATGACTGTGTAACATTCACAGAGAAAAGGCTTGCCCAAAACCGGTATGGTTGTTTACTTACAGCAGCAAGCATTTTGCTATTAAAAACAATGGATGAATTTGAGTCACAATGTCAGACAATTAAACATTATGCAAAGCTTTTACAATGTTGAACCAAGTTTACCCTGCTCTTCTTAGACTGCAGAGGATTCTGGTCCACTGGAAGCAGTGGAAACCTGTTTTACAGAGAGAATATTAGCAATACCCAGGGCTCAGGAACACTGCTCATGCAGAGCTGCCTTAGCCAGGCTTCTCAATGTAGAGACCTCTAGAAAGGTTTAGGAAGTCACTGGGACATTATGTGATTGAGTCGGGTCATTGCTTTTGATAGATCAGGTAGGGACCCTGGAATTCTTTTGTTAGTGCTATAGTAATTTCTTGAAAATTTTTGATGTTGCAGTGTGATCAGTAGTAGTGACAATTAGATGGGAGAAACTACACTAGCTCCTTGTTCCAGAAAAAAGATATGAGTACAAATTGGACTCAAAAGGAATTTCCTGTTTGTTCCTATTTGTCTTTTAATTTTGAACTCTTCTATTTTATAATACTGACAACTGGAATACAGCCACCAGGGGCTCTACTGTCTTGCCACTCTGTCTGTTCTTGGCTACCCTGAAAGTCTTCATGTCAATATGTCATACCACTTAAACCTGACTTCTAACTGTTGAGTCGCTCTGGACTACAGTTTACCCATGACTAATACTGTCATGGT